TGGTAAAATTTTTGGCAAAAAAAATTGTCTTAAAAGTTAGAAGTGAATTCAGTATGGAATTATGGGAGTTAATAATTTTAATAGTTTCCTAGGTCTGCCCTAACAAAATACCACAAACTGAGTGGCTCAAGATAACATAATTTTTTTGTTTTACAGTTTTGCGAGCTAGAAGTGTGAATTCAATGTGTTAGTAGAGCCACGGTCCCTCAGAAATTTGGAGGGACCATATGGCACTCTTTGACCATAGCTGCCCAAATGTGGACTGCATTAGCGTACTGCCCTAAGGAAGGGCATACTCGGCTGTCCTAAAGGGTCTCTTGACCTTGATAATGGAACACTTAACTGTGTTTACAGTTAGCTTCTATCCTTCTCTTTTATGGTTTCTGGGGGTTTGCGGGTGGGTCTTGGGACTCCTTGGGTAGTAGCTGCAATGCTTCCCTTCTTTCCTCTGTCGTCACATGGCATTCTCACTGCATGTCTGTGTCCAGATTGCACCTTTCTTATAAGGTAACTAGTCATATTGGATTGGGGTCCACCCTCATTGCCTTATCTTAAGTTGATTATGTCTGCAAATACTCTCTAGTAATAAGATCCTATTAACAGATACTGGGGATTAGGACTTCAACATTTTTAAAATCACCTTTTAAATAATAAAATATTTTTTACTTATTCTAGAGACTGGTGCAGGCTTTTAGAGCAAATAATTTTTGATTCATGTCATTGGACACACAGGATAAGGCACAGAGCAATACAGAGAAAAAATGCTTTGGCTAAATATTCTAGATGGTTAGACATTAAATGGCAAGGAAGCTTTTCAAAATGTTTGACTCATGCTCTTCAAACCAAATCTAGCATTCCGTTTATAAATATAATCTGAGACATTCCAAAGGCTTATGTAGACTTTCTGGGAACACAAAAAGAAGGAACACCATTTGACTTACTTTTTGAGACCAATAACATTTTGACATTAAAATAAGCAATGACAGTATGAGGAAAGGAACTTTATAAGATAATAGCTCATATAAATTTAGATTAAAAATTTTAAATTAAAACACTGAAAACCTAAGTTAAGCAATATATATATTTTTCATTTAAGTAACATAATTGGTCCAAGATTTTTATACTGTTGATATATGTCATGTACAAAACGAAATAAAAATGGTCAAGTTCATTTCACTACTTGCGAAAAACACATTCCATGTAAAATGCAGCATTTCACTAAATTTAATAAAGTTTATTCCTATTCTAGAAAAAATGGAACATCATTACTTAATAAAGTATATCTCACAAAATTTATCGCTAACATTAATTAAATATAAAAGTATTTCATTTACGAACATAAATAGGACAAGGATGATAGTTATCATAACTTATATTCAAAATTGTATTAATAATTGTAACTAAAACAATTATATAATAAAAGACAAAGACTAGAAAGGATAAAATAAAATTCCTGTATATATTTTTTTGCAAACTCTCTATGTAGTAAACTTAAATGAATATAAATAAAAATTAATTTCAATGTCAATGAGACAATAAAGAATAAGTCTAACAAAAGTTGCGCAATATGTTAGGATAATAATTACAAAAATGTACAGATATTAAAGAGTACCTACAAAAGTGGAGACAACTCATATTCAAGAGAAGAAAAATTCAATAATACAGACTTGTTAGTATTTTCCTCAAGTGATATATTTATTATAATTCCAATCAAGATCTTAATAATGCTTCTTTGTGGCATCAACAACTGATTTTATAGTTAACTTGGTAGGACAGACAGCCAAGGGGAACCTCGTAGGCTCGCTTGATGTTCCAGGTAGCTACACTTATTATAATATTTTTAGTAGTTAAGCCAGTGTAATACTGAGTCATGAGTAAACAAGTAGAAGAATAAAATGGAGAGCCACAAGAAAAAATACCCATATGTGACAATATCATATTTGAAAGAGATTTAAGACATATTAGTGAGAAATAAGAACATATTTGATAAGTGGCTCAGTAACAACTGGCTATCCTTGGATAAAAGCAAGTACGGATTCCTATCTCATATCATAAATGAAAACCAATTCCAGATAGACAAAGGAATTAAATCTAAGAGGAAAAATTTGTAAAATTTTACAAAAAATAAAGGAGATTATAATATTATAGACAAAAAGAAATTTCAAGAAAGGCAACCCTCTAATTATAAAAATTAACTGACCTTAAAATTAAGAAATTTTAAAAATCAGAATCCAGCATAATGAGCGTGATTAAAAGTGCCATAGACATAGCGGAATATATTTAGACATAGATAACAAAGTATTAGCATCTCGATGATATAGAGAACTCCTGGAGTAAGACAGAAAAACATAATTTAAAAATGGGTAAAAGGTATAAATAAGCATTTCACAAGAGAAAAAAAAATTCCAGTCAACATATGGAAGATGTTCAACTGCATCTCAGGAAAATGCAAAATCATGGTGAAACTCCATTTCGCACAAGTCTGGTGAGCAAAAGTGAAAAAAACAAACAAAAAAGACATGTTTTTAGATTAGCCCTAGGCAAATGATCTATGGGTTCTAAATCAACACAGTGTCCACCAAGGCTGTAGATCAACAAAGAGGACACATAAAATGACACCTGACACATACCTTCAGTGGGAGACGGAGAACAGCACTAGTTACAAATGTCTGTGTGCTTAAAAATAATCACCAAGTACCAACAGAGCTGCCACTGGCACTCCATTTCCACCAGAAGTCTGTGGGTGTGGGGGAAAGAAGGATAGGTTCATTTAAAAATCCCTAAGGACAAAGGAAAGTGGAAGAGGGCACAGATGAAACACAGGAAAAAAAAGAAAGAACCCTCTGGAAAGAAAAACAAGTACTACATTGTCCACTGCAATTCTGGAAACCAGGGAGTTCAAAACATCAGTTTCGGGTCTGAAAGTGTCCAGAAATAGGCTTTCTGGGGGGGCAGGGAGAAGGGGGTAAGTAGAGAAAGGATCGTGCCCCTTCAGATTTGACAGTGAAGTGAAAGCAGACTGAACTGAAATTAAGGATGGTATAGGAGTGAAAGAGATATAAAGCACATTGATTCCCAGTTCTCTCCGTCACCACTTAGGCACCAAGAGGGACAGTGGAGTTCGTTTTACAGAATTCCTAGGAATAAAGAGAAAGGAAGAGATTAATTTCAAAGGAAGCTGTGAAACAAGAGATGCATGCAAATCAAAACATTTCAGAAAAAAAAAAAACAGAAAAAAAGACAAAAAGTAACAGTGAGACAACATTCAAGCCAGAATTAAACAACCACTCAACCATTCCAACCAGCACTTGGAAATCTACAAAGCCCATCCACCCTCAGAAAAGAGAGGAGGAGAAAAAGGAGGTGGAAAAGAAGGGGAAGCAACCCAAAAGAGTATGAAATGGAGGAGAAAGAGAGGAAGGCGGCAGGAATAAGAGTTGTCTAAATCGGATAATTAACCTAAAATTGACAAATGTATTATAATGTGCCAAGGGATAAGAGATTCACTTGGCTAGAAAATAAATAAAACACAGAGAGTTTCTGTATACTTATTTTGGGAGTATAAATCGTACATCCACTTTAGACAGCAGTTTGGCATCGTCTGTTAAAATCGAAGATCTGCATATGACACGTGTTGTAGAGAAATTCTGTATGCTCATTATGGAACTATGAATTGTACATCTATTTTGGGCGGCAGTTTGACGTGAACTATTATGATAAAGATACTGTACTCTGCATCCAGCATTTGTAGCTTTGCATGGCATATTCTAGAGCGGGGATTGCCAACTGCAACCCATCAGCCAAATCTGCCCCCCTGCCTGACTGTGTAAATAAAGTTTTATTGGGATGCAACTTGTGTTCATCTGTTGATGTGTCATCTATGGCTGTTTTCCCACAATACAGGAGTTGAATAGTTGCAGCAGGACCCACGGTTGTCCCACAAAGCTGAAAATATTGACTATTTGGTTCTTCATGGTAAAAAATTTGTCCATTTTCAAATAAACTGTTGAGCGAAGAAAAAAAAAACATAATAAAAGAAGTGTGAACACTATGCTTCTATTTGTGCCGAGGTTAAAACATACAAGCTAAGCTATTTGTAGTCTAGGGCATCAGGGACCAGTTTCAGGGAAGACAATTTTTACACGAGGAGTTGGTGGGGATGGATGATCAGGCGTTAGATTCTCATCAGCAGCACGCACCTGAGGTCCCTAGCATATGCAGGTCACAAAAAGGCTCACACTCCTATGAGAATCTAATGCCAGGCGGATCTGATAGGAGGTGGAGGTCTGCTCACCGGCTGCTCACCCGCTGTGGTGTGGCCCGGATTCCTAACAAGCCAAGGACCGGTACCAGTCCACGGCCCTGAGGTTGGGGATCCCTGGTCTAGGGAATCATGCACATGACATAGAATGATAAAGTCAAACAAAATACACATCGAGTTGGTATTATGTCTATCACTGGACAACAGGGGAAGAAAACACAGAGTGACGCCTGCTAGGAGCGTCAAGGGCACCCATCATATTTTCTTTCTTTAAGTGAGTGACGAGTTGAAGACAGGCTTATAGTCACCCTTTGCATTGTGTTTTCTTGTTGCTGAGTTGTGAAAAATTGCTTCAAATCCCAGATCGAATGTCCATTGATTTTTTAGCAAGAGAAATTTTACCTAACACTTATTGTCTTATCTCCACAATTGTTTCACTCTCATTCTTTAGCATACCTAGCATATACACTGGCATGGAAATTTTTCACTGCTTAATTTGTTCATTTCCTATGTGTTTTTGAAAGAATTATTTGGGTGTATTTACACATAAATGTACACACACTCATATATACATAAATATAGTTATGTGCTGTATACCTAGAAGATAATTATAAAGAGTAGCACCGTAGATGTTGCATGACATTCGGTGTTAAATGCTCTTGGCTAGCTTATGGCTCTACTTCCTGCTTGCTGGAGGATCCTTTAGCACTTTTTCATCTCTATGCTTTTGCCTATTAAGTGCGAGCACAGTGATAATATCTACTTTTCCTTTTGTGTGGATAAACTAAAACAAGGCTTGGTACTCATTCATAAAAGGAGTATTTTCAATGTCACTTCCAGCCCCAAGCATGCACAGCCTGCCTGTCTCTGTTTCAGGCTGCATGACACTCCAGGAGACACTGACCTGTGGCCCACCCTTATGGTTGAAGACCTGATCCCTGGTACAAGAGCAGGGCATGACGGTGCATGGTTGGAAGGCTTGAGGAGGAAAAATCACCTGAACCCAGCATGTCGAGGTTGCGGTAGCCATGAGCCTGTCACTGCAGCCTGGGTGGCAGAGACTCCTACTCAATAAATAGGTAAGTAAATAAATGCATAAAGATAAAAAGTAATTTGGTACTATGGGGGAGGGCGGTGTACTTCTCTTTGTTTCAGATTATGGGTGATTCGCTCCAGGAATAATGAAATATTTCCAACTCTCTCAAACATGGGAAGCCGGGAGGCAACATACAAATCATATAAATAGCAACTAAGAGCACTCCTTTTGTTTCTTCTCCAGTGCCTCCCGGGACAGGAGATGGGACCCAGCTGAGCACAGGGAGAGAGAGATGGCATGGCGGGGTGTGGGCCCGGATGACCAGAGCCGTGCCCTGCAAGGAAGCAGTGACTCAGACGAAGCAATGACTCGTAGTCGAAGCCTATGTGCCCCTTATGCCCACACATAACCAAGTCTAGGTGTTCTCAGCTCTGGTCCTGTGGGAGATGATTCATGCAAGCGCCTCCCTCATGCCCTCATCCTGGGTGGTTCAAGGGGGATGTCATGATCCCTATTTCATATATGAGGGAAATATCCCTATTTCATATAAAGTCAAAGGCCACTTTCCAAGATTACACAGCCTGAAGGCCCCGGCACTTTCCTCTGTCCATAAACCCCCTGTGGCACCAGCATATAGCATGACGCCAGCAGTTAGCAGGCGCCCTTTGCGGGTGGTTTCCTCTCTTGTCCTCTCCTTACATGGCCATCGCACCACATCTGAGGACAGACAGGGGCGGTCCTCTGCTGTTTGATGGTAATGTGTCTGTTATGGGTCATGCCTGTCACAAAAAACGCAATGCAGAGATTTCACAGAGGAGGGGTGGGGCGAACCTTGAGTTTGAGGCACTGTTCTTATTAAGATCTGTGGTCCCAATCAATAGCAAGAATTCTCTTTTCGGAGAGTAAAACATCTCTACAAATTCATTAGCCAGAGGTAATACAAAGTTGTTAGTGTTGCAGTGTGTTTGCTTCTGGCGTTGTCATTCTCAAAACTACACCGGGGTACGTGGCAGGTGTGTCTTCCTTATACAAAAATGCTGAGTCATGTCAGCAGCAAAATCACCTAGAGAAAATGAATATGCCTCAAGTGGTTCCACTAATAATGGAATGTTTATAATGAGCATCTTTGTAAATGGGTGCACGTACATTTTAAAGTACTTTTTGATGAACAAGCATGGGCTTTTCAGGAAAACAAATTCAAGGATGCTCTTTAAAATGAAATAATTTAAATAAAGGTGTTCGCTAACTGCTCAAAAGTGGACCACCTATATATGGTGTGGGCTTCTTACACCTCCCAATTAACAGACACATTGCTTATGTAAATTAGGGGCCCACTAATTCAGTCAAATCACTAAGGAATTAGTGTGTACACTGTGGCTCTATTGTTTTAGGGAGGTCATGCATTTTAATGGTCTGGGTTAACAGTACAGAAGTGCTACTATCAGCCACATTGCATTCACCCCTGAGACCTGAAGTTGTTACTTTCTGAAAGAGGAAGAGGTATATTAAAGTACCTAGGAATTATCTTTACTACTCAATGCACTTGTCTGTGTCATGCTATTATTCATGTTAAAGAGTTTTTCACTCTCGTTTGCTAATCTTATTCACAGATTAAGACGAATACAAAAGATGGTGTTCAAATGATTTAATAGTTTTAACATTATCTTAAAGAAAAACATAGAGCTCTCTTTGGGATTTAAGTGGCCACTCCAAGCAGCCCTAGTGTTTTATATTACTAGAATAAAAGGTATTATTAAACTTACTCTCAACTCTTCATCTTACTCTTATAGAATCATTTGATTTCAACAGGGGTATTTCTTCAGTCCTGTTTCCCATGAATAACAGCCTGCTGGTTAATACTAATAATCAGCATATTTCATATTTCACTACTTTTTTTTTGAATTCTGGAAAATTTCTTGAAAGGAGTCAGGAAGATGGCAGCCGAGCCAGTCAGACTATGCAAGTCCCAGTGTGAGTGAGTGTATGGAAAATTTTGTGTACGTGCTGGTGAGCAAGAGGGCATGTGAGTGGCTGACTGAGGGAGGGCTAGGGAGCTAGCCGCCAGGGCTCTCCTGGTGCAGCAGCAGGTTCTGCACCTGCTGGGCTCGGACCCTAGTGATCCCAGGATGCAGAAGCTGAGCGCCATTTTTTTTTTAAATCAACAAAACCCTTCCTGGGAAGAAAATGCTGGGAGAGACTGACTAAGTGGGGGCTTGTGAGCAAGTGGCCAGAGCCCTGGTGTAATGGATGTTGCTGCAGCTTCTCTGCTGGGTTGCTGGCTCTTCCTGGGTTGCAGAAGCTGAGTGCCATTTTTAAAAAATGGACAAAAGTTTTCCGGTGAAGAAATGGCAAGGGAAAATGACTGCCTCAGGCTCAGCCTCAACACTGCAGCAGGAGAGACTGCCGGCTCAAGGCTTTGCCTCACCACTTTAGTGTCTGGCAGGGCACTGGCGGCAGGGGCTGTAGGGGGGAGTCCAGAGGCAGAGTCCCCTGGAAGAGGACAGAGAGGCACCCCACCGACATCTTAAAGGTGGAGCAGGAAAGTGCTCCGATTTGCTCACCACAGAACAACAGATCCGACTTCTGTGACTGGCGGATCAACCACTCAGGGATTGATCTCGACCCAGAGGGAATATCCTGAAAGCACAAACTTTGCAGGGACCTGACAAGTGCTGAGTCCCAGGTGTTCCACCCCCTACCCTGATTCAGGACAAAGGGTATGACCAGAAAAGGATGAGGAAGGACTCCAAAGAGATTGGTGGTGAGTCCGGGGCTGATCCCAACCCCTGCCTCCCCAGCAATCCTCTGAACGTCAGACTCACACAGCTGGACCACGACTGAGAGGGACAAACCCAGGTGGAACCTGGACGTCAATCGCAATAGGAGAGCTCCATTCCGGGATAGGCCTGGCTGGGGCACCCCCGGCGAGTACACAGCTGGGGAAGAGACAATCCTGCACCTTCTGACGGGAGGAGATCTCCCTGACCATAGGAGGGTGGGAGGGGAGGACTGCAGCCAGCCCACCTCCATGACCTCTCCGCCTTCCCTACTTCAGACACTGAGGAGAGAAAGAGGTGGCTCTGCAGGAGACACCTGATTGGAGGAACAATTGCAGAGCCAGCCACCAGAGGGCAGGGTTTCTTTTTTAATTTTTAATTTTTTTCTTTCCATTTTTAAAAATTTTCGCCTGTTTGTTAGTTCATCTATTTTTACAATGTTTTTCTTTGTGCATGAAAGTGTATGCACAAAGAAAAAAAGGGTTGGATCTGCATCCCTCCAAAAATGATTTTTCTTTTTTCCTTTTCTTTTTCTGTTTCTTCTTTTATGTGCTGTTTTCTGTTTATGTGTGTATGTGAATGACTGGTGTTCATCTTTCAGTTTTGTTGTTGTTGTTGTTGGTTTGTTTTTGCTCTTTTGTTCTTCTGGGTTTTTTATTTTCGATTTTTATAGTTTAAGGTGTGTGTAAGTATGTGTGAGGGTTGGTTCTGAATTCCTCTTTTTTTCCCCCTGGTCTTTCTGTTTTTCTTCTCCATTCACTTTGTGCTAGGTGTGTGTGTGTGTGTGTGTGTGTGTGTGTGTGTGTGTGTGTGTGTGTGTTCAGTTTTCTTGGTTTTTTGTTGTTATTTATTTGCTTCACTTTGTTGTTATTCTAGTTCGTTTTGGGTTGTGTGTGCATGTCTCTCTCTCTCTCTCTCTCTCTCTCTCTCTGTGTGTGTGTGTGTGTGTTCAATTGCTTTTTGCTTTGGTTTCTGCTTTGCCTCATCATATAGAGTGGTGGTGGAGAATGGGTCTCAGGGAACACATACCACAAGAAGTGAACATTGTAATTTGCAAGTGGTATCTGATTCATAGTGCCCCATCCCCCACTTTATTCGAATTTCAGAAACTACAAGAGACAACAAAGCTTCCCATCCACTGTTATTTCATCCACTGCCATTTCAAATAGAACAAATCCAGAGCATGGATCAGGGAAGAATAGAGGACTGAGGAAACATCAGAAGGGAAAACCTCTCCCACTGACACCGAATAACAGAACTAAAGAGAAAAACAAGAGATCTGTCACAAATGAGGAAAAGTCAAAAGAAGACCTCAGGCACTTCTGAGTCTACCAAAGAAAAAACTCCTGAGAAATCAGACCTTGGTGCCCAAACAATGGAAGTCACCGACTGGCCCCAGAATATGACAGGGATTAGGGAATGGATGGAAAGTGTGAGCAAGGCTCAAAAAGCAATATGCAACACTGAAAGAACTTGTAACAGAGATTTTGGCAATGCAAAGTTTCATCCCGGAAATAAATAACAACATAGCAAGCATGGAAAGCAGAATTAATCTAGCTGCAGAAAGAATCTCAGAACTTGAAGGAAAAATTCTTCTCTTAAATGCATGAACACAATAACATTAACTCTGAGTCTGCTTAAAACAGTGATCATATCAATGCAATCAAGATTTTCATCATTATATTTGGTTATTCTTTGCAGGTAGGAGACATAAGCTCTAAAAAAATAGAACTTTGTGTCGCTTAGCTGTAATGCTGTGGATGTTTGTAGGTGATGAAGCTGTGGAGAAACTTGGAGTGTTAAGTAATTGGATTTGGTTTTTATTTCTCATGTCACTCATCACTTTCAATGAAGAATTTGGTTTCCTGCCTTTTTGGCTCATAAATTTTGAGTTTCTCTTCGCCGAACTAGACAACTGTAAAACAGCGTACTGTTTGCCCTTAAGTAGTCCCATTATATTGTTGATGTTTTCTTCATACCTTGTATAAATTTCCCCTTCATTCCATATATTTATAATTAACTCCTTTTTATTATTGCTTAGTGCTTAGAGCTTTATATAACAATATTTATGCAGTTACAATTTACATATAAGCGCTTGTATTTCCATAGGCCAGATTCTTACAGAATTCCCAAAGTAATGTTGCTGAGTTACAGGATGTATTTTTTTAAAATTAAGAAATGTTGTTAGATTTATTTCTTAAAAGGTAAACTTTACAATTCCATGAACAATTATATGAATACTCCCTTAACTTTGAACCAACAACTGATGATACAACTGGGATTTTTTGGTAGTCCAGTGAGTGAAAACTTAATTATCTCACCTTATTTTCAATTTGTCTTTCTCTTCATTAGTATGCTTAAACAACTGTCTCCATGGTTGTTGGTTGTGGAGATGTGCTCCTCTGTGCACTGTGTGTTTATAGCCTTTGTCCTTTGATGACTCTGTGTGAGCGCTCTGCAAATTCTTTGTGGTGACAGCAGTGGGTGGTCATCCCAAGCTTGACACTGAATTGTAGCGGTTTATCATTTTACCTAGCAGCAACAGATTTGCTTTTTTTGTATATGAATTTATTTTTGCTTCAGTAGGTTTCCTACATTCCTCTGGTTCT